GTTTGTTTGAATTATTCAAATCATTTGTTTGTTTGAATTATTCAAATCATTTGTTTGTTTGAATTATTCAAATCATTTGTTTGTTTGAATTATTTAAATAAATTATTTATTCAAATTGTATCATTCGTTTATTACTCAAATTGTTATCACTTGTTTATTATTTGAATTGTTATCATTCTTTTATTATTTGAATTGTTATCATTCTTTATTATTTGAATTGTATCATTCTTTTATTATTTGAATTGTTATCATTCATTTATTATTCAAATTGTTATCTATCATTCGTTTATTAGTTGAATTCTTATTATTTGTTTATTATTCAAATTGTTATCATTCTTTATCATTCGAATTGTACTATTCGTTTATTGTTATCATTCGAATTGACATCATTCATTTATCAATCAAATTGACATCATTCATTTATCATTATAATTGACATCATTCATTTATCATTTGAATTGTTATCATCATTCATTTATCATTTGAATTGTTATCATCATTCATTTATCATTCGAATTGTACTATTTGTTTATTGTTATCATTTGAATTGACATCATTTGTTTATCAATCGAATTGACATCATTCATTTATCATTCGAATTGTTATCATTGTTGTATGTGAAATTGAAATTATGTGAATTTGAAATATTATGGAGTGGGGTGAAATTCTGATTGGCTAATTTGAATTTCACACATGTAAATTTGAATTTCACGTATGTGAATTGCGAATTCACATAATTTCATTTTCACATACAACATCATCATTCATTTATCATTCAAATTGACATCATTCATTTATCATTCAAATTGACATCATTTGTTTATTATTATTATTCAAATTGACATCATTCATTTATTTATTATTTGAATTGTTTATTCAAACTATTTGTTTTGCTTGAATTATTCATTTTATTTCATTTATTTGTTTTATTGTTCAAATTGTTGTCATTTGTTTATTCGAACTATTTGTTTATTTATTTTATTCAAACTATTCATTTATTCGTTTTGTTTGAAATATTCGAATTATTTGTTTTACTCAAATTATTTGTTTTACTTGAATTATTCATTTTATTCAAACTATTTGTTTATTTGTTTTGTTTGAAATATTCGAATTATTTGTTTTATTTGAATTATTTGAATTATTATTATTTTTTTATTTGTTTTATTTGTTTTATTTGAATTATTCATTTAATTTATCTTTTTTGAATTATCAAATTATTCATTATTCATTTTATTCAATGTAATTCAAATACTCAAATTCATAACGAGTAAAACAAATAATTTGAATAAACCCTTATTCAAATAGAAACTCTAATACTAATCAAGCAGTATAGTTGTATGTAGTGATTTTAATTTAGTTTTCCAGATTTGGTGACTCCAATAACTCTGACCACATGCTTGCAATATTTATTACAGTTTTATGACTTTAGGGTGTCAATGCTGAATTGTTGTAGTTCAGGTAAAATTTTAATTTTTT